ATTTCAAGTCAATCTTCTGTGCTTTGTCAGTATAAATCAGGACCAGTGCATAGGAATGAGGTCATTAAGTGCCAGGCACAGCAAAGGTCATGGTGGAATCAGAACTATTTCATTTTACTTTTCCACCTAGGACATATTTAATCAGTAATTACACTAATACCAACTTCAGAGATTTTATTAATTAGCACAATTATGGTCACAGGATCATCAGGAGAACACAGCAAGTTAATTCCCACCCAGCAATTTTTTTTGAGCCCCATTGCAGAGTCAATGGTATTATGCTACACTTAAGAATTTAATCAGTTTCTATCTCATCTTAAGTACCTGGAGCATCAAAACACAGTGTACCATGGACAAGAATTACTGCAGTGAGGCATTTTCTGTTGCTGAAAAAATGTATTAAATGATCTGCAGCTCCACAATTAAAACCTAAGCTTTAGAGGCTCTGTGAATGTTAGTGTATCTTCAAAGCACTTTACAGATCAATCCTTTTCAGCATCACTCCAGAAGTGGAAAGAATTACCTTTATCTGATGGAGAAAGAAGCTGCAGCACAAAGACACAGTGAGTCATCTGCCAGTTAAGTGCCTGGATACCAGGGGGATGATGCCAGAGCAGAGAACAAAGTGTCCAGAGCAGATCACATCATCTGCAGCTGGTTTCCAGTACATTAATCTCATCTCCTTTCTATATTTAATCTTTCATTTATTTGTTCTGTTCCCCACTTTCCATGCCTGTGCTACACTGCTATTCAGTCACTTCCCATAAATGCATCTTCCACCTGCTTCCCCCCCTCCCACATGACACTTGGTTCCCCTGCTGCCCATGGTCTCACACTGTTGATACCTGAGAGCTGCAAACATTTCCAGCTCCCTGTGTGTCCCCCTGAGCTTCCTTTTCCAGTGAGTCCCGGCAGTCAGGCTGCTTTTCTTTGCCAGTAACTCTGGAAATCACAATGGAAGAGGGCTGAGCACTGAAAATGGGCTCTGCAATTCCTTTGCTCCTGAAGGATGTTGCTTTCCACTGAGCCTGCAAGGGCACAAATCTGAAGCAGTGCTCTGCTGCTCACCAGAGCACTGATTCTTCAAGTCTTTCCCATATATCACCAATCTTTAAAAAACGCTTTCTTTTGGGTAGTCAAGAATTCAATGTTTTCCAAGTACTCCTGCTAAAGCCACCGTTCATTTCACACACCATTTTTCCTCAGCCACTAAAATTTAGACCAGTTATATGCACAGCTCAAATTCTGTCCTCAAGTACCTAAAAGGTGCCCTCTGTTTAGTGGCACAGTAACACAATACCATCAAAAACCAATGAGAGCTTCACGTGCAAAATCTGTGAAAAACAACCATTTATGTTTATTTCTGTTGCCCAGTATGGATTTCAGAGTCTAAATTTAGGCACTCTGGGAGAAGGGACAAAGACAGGAGACAATATCCCCTGTGTTTTCCTGCCACCTTCCCAAGGCCAACCTGATTTAACAACTCTAATTGCCACCTATTCTATTTAAATCTAGCTGAGAACTGGAAAAGCCCTTTTGCTCTGATGGATAATCAGATCTGAAGTGCCACATAACATGTACTTCCTACATGAAATACACATTAAACAACAATGAGCTGCCTTCCACTACCCAGTTCCATCTCTGCTTAAATCCTGCCACAGCACCTTGACACCCAGAAAAGGCAAGGGGTAAAAATATGCTCAATATGTTATTTTCTCTTCCTCAGATGCCTTAGTTTCTTGTCTGAAAAGTCCTGTGGTATCAGTAAGATCACAACAAACCTGTTGTTTAAAAACTCACTGTGTCTTAGAAGGGCTCATCCTTGTGGATATTGAGTTTTTAAAAACTCTGCCAGACATTTTTCTCCGTGGGGATAAGGTGACCCTGAGGTTTAACTAGCTGAGATGTTACATATGATTTTATCTAGCAAGTATTAGCTAGACTTTTGATAAGTCTACAGCTCTTTCAAGCACATGCTTTTAGTCCTGGTAGGCTTCAGATAAACAGGCAGATGAAAATTTAATCAGCATTCCACAAGTGCTGGGGTTTGTACAGTTTTTTCCTAAGCATCTGGTCCAACATTAGGAGCCCACGCTGATCTTGGCTGTGTCCTTGCTCATAGGACAGTTTATAGGATCTCAGATTATAACCCAGACAAAGCAACAGATCAACACTGGACTGAAAAGCACCTCAGTAAAAGTTAGTAAAACAGCAGAAATTTAGAACAGCTCATGATCTCCAAAATCATTGAGAAAGCAACCCATCCAACCAGAAATATATTAAGGCAGCAGCATTAACAACTTGCTCAAACTTTTATTTAGACTTAAAATAGTCGCAACATCCAGCGTGATGGCAGTAAAAAAAATCCCTATACTTGCAACAATTATAAACTCCCTCAAACACGCCTATTGTATCACCATGAAAATGTCAGACCAACTCTTATTTTAAAATACTTCCCTGCAGCTTTACATTTCATTACAGCGCAGCAAAGAAATCCCCTCCCGCAGTAACTGCACTGGTTATTAGTATGTTATTGGGGCAGCTGCTAATATAATAGTGTCATGCTTCTTAACTCAGGCCTCTGAAGCTGTGAACAATGCATAGCAATAACCTTTACATCCTCTCTCAGCACAGTAGCAGGTAGTTACAGCAAAATTAACGGAGGTAAGTGGCAGTGAAATCACTTATCTATGCTACAGTCACACACGCAACTGAGGTTCTGAAAGATTGCTGTACCCACAAGGGCTCTGTCACAGAGAACATGGGCAAGAGCCTGCCCTTGGTGAAATGTCTTTGATGTCACTGGTTGTAAGGTTTTCTAAGAGTCCAGTCCTTCCTAAGGTGAGGAAAATTTGTCCTCTCCCCCTAAAGCCCCTGTCCCAGTGTGACCCCTGATTAAGTGGAGTCCTGACAGCCTTCTCATTTGCCAGGCCTGCAGTGACCTATCCAGCTTCCAGGCCCAGAGCTGGCTGTAAAACACTGGATACTCTGCTGTTCCCCACCTCTATTTGCACATGCAATCTTAGCTAAACACTTCAGCCCCATTGCCTGCAGCCTGCACTGGTTTTGGCTTCAATATTTGGGTGTTTGATTGCACTACCTGCAGAGGGTGGGTCTGGGGTTATCACCCATTGATAAGAAAACTGATCATTGTCAAGCACAAGAAAGGATTCAATCCCAATAGGATCCTGATTCAGGGATAGTATTTTCTACATGGCTGGAGTTTTGGAAGACAAATTTGCTTTCAGGATGAATTAGCAGCTTATTTAACCAGCACGCAAAAATATAGACTAACTCCCACACAGAAGTGGAAAGTATCTTCTAAACCATCGGAATGATTTTGCTATGTTGAACTGCAACTTCAGCTGAGAGGTTGCTGAGTTTGACTTTACTGAGTGGGTTCAACACCATCATTCTCACAGACCTCTGATGTTTGGCACATACTAGAGATTTTCAGCCCTTCAGCTCCACTCCTGTACTCCTTTACTCCTACTCTCTACCTCCTACCACTAACATACCTCAACCTTCTCTCATGCACCACCATAATATATTAACAGGGGGAATAAACAGGTTCACAGGAGGCAAAATGGGATGCAGAGTTCATATTTAGGTGGTCCTTTACAGCCTCCCAAGGGCCATGTGACTAATGAACCTCAGATTTTTAATTGTCTGGAACTCAAAGCCCAAAGACTTTTGCACTGGCCATGCCTTACCTTTATACTTTATTAAGTAGAGAAAGCATAATAAATCCGTGCTGTGAACTATCTTACTAATGTAGCTGTCAGAATAATGATTTCTCTCTTTTTCATCTTCACAGCCAGGTAGTTCAATCCTGAGTTAGAGAACCCTACTTGCAATTGATTTGGCCATCATCAATTTAGGGAGGAGTTCAGAGGAGAAAAAGCACATCACATTTGCACCCTGGGTACAGAAATAATGCTGGATGCCCTAAGTACTTCAATAAAATGATCTGCTCTTTCACAAGGAAGTTTGGATCAAAAAGAATGCTTTTGCCTTGAGCATCCTTTGTGCAGATTAGGCAAAGAATCCATTTAGACAGGAATTAATAGGTGGGTATGTCCCTATACCATAGCATGAACAAGCTCCCAAAGCATTAAGTGAATCATTCCCATCAACCAAGACAAAAAGAGGTTTAATAGAATGATTGTGTCAGCTTACAGCTCCTGCAGAATGAACTGCATGAGTGTCACCTGCAGAGACCAGTCCTTAAAAACTGGGAAAGTGCCGATCTGGCTGGAATGAAGCGACATGGAGTCATGGCAGAGGTGCCCACTTCCCCTTGCCCACAGCCTGACCATTCTCCTTTCCAGAATGCTGAGGGCGAGCTGAGTATTGCTCTTCTAGGAGTTAAAGCTGTTTATAAGCTCACATTTAGTATTCTGAATATTCTTCTTTTATAAACTGTAACCTTTCGACATCTCATTTTTTGTGTCAGTTTGGAAAGTTGTCACTTCCCTTATCAATCTCACTTGTTTTCTGAAGAGAGCATCTTAAACATACACAGTATAATTATGTGGATTAGAAATATATTGTGGTAGAAATCCTAGGGAAGTGGCACTTGACAAAGATTTTTCCCTGAAAAGACAGCATTTAAGACCATGCAGATGGCATTCTGACAGAGAAATCTAGATTACTTTGCTAGTCAGATTAAAACATATAAATCTTTAATTTAATACCAGCAACTTTTCTGTACGTGGTTTAAAAGTTTTATTTTTTGGCATGTATTAAATCTTTCGAGAAAATCCACTGGAATAACAACTCAGCCTATTATTTTTAATTCAAGTTTCAAAATCCTGTCAAAAGGCTTCTTTTTGGCAACAAGCATTAGCTAGATTATTGCACACTGAACAATTGCTGATGAGCTGAAAGAGAAAATGTGTTGCCAGGTATTTAAGAATGAGCAGTATTAGCACCTTAGCCAAGACCAAAATTAGTGCTAAGCAATTTATACCTCCAAGAAGGTCTATAAATAACATTACCTGTTAGCAAGTCAGTTGTCAGCACTGCTGTGTCTGAGAAGCAAATAATAACAGCTCTCCACGTAGGTGCAGATCTGAATGAGCATCACCTCACCCCAGAGCAGGTTCCCTCGGATGCCAGTTCCGTAACACAGCCCAAAATAAAGTCTTTCTCTGTCCTCTAAAGTCACCTAAAGCACCACTCCAGCTCAAAACACCAGATTAAGTCTCAAATGCAGGATGAACTGACAGGAAGCCCTTGGTAATCTGCCATCGCAGCATCGCTTCGCACTGGTTTAATTTCCCTAACTATGAGCACTCCGATTGTTTCCCTCCTCTAGGCTGTCTGAAAACGTTTATATTTAGCACACGACCCCTTTGCACACAGGAATTACAGGAGAGCTGGGTGAAGATATTCAGATTCACAATTGCAGCCTGTCAGCTTTAGCTCTGAGCCCAGTTGTGAATCTGAGGGGGTGGATGTGTGGGGGAGTTGCAGGCTTCTTTCTCCTTCTTGCTGAAAGATGGGGAAAGATAGGCAGCAGAAAAGGTTTACAGCACTAAGACAGGGAGAAAAGGCAACTTTTTAACGTGTGTAGTTGCCACTGAGCTCAGCAACAGAGGGTGATGGCTCTGAAGGAGAGCTGTACATCACAATGACAACACTCAGCGACCCCAGGGCTGTCTAAAACTCCCTGCCATTTTAAGCACCAATGTTTGTGAGTGCAGGATGTGTTTATTTTTTAAGCCAAGAAATGGGTCACAGCTCATCAGCTCCTGGAAGTTTTAGCGATCCATCCAATCAGGAACTCTGAAAACAGAAGGATTTCTGAGCTTACAAAAAAAAAAAAGGAGCGTAAACTCTTAAGAAAGATTATGCTGCACATAATGAAGATAAATATGTAAGAGGCAGTCAAAAAGATGCCTGCTTTTCAAAGCCTAAACAGGTGGTTCTGGAGCATGACAGATTTACATCCCACCTTCACAGTGTAACTCCCAGTTACACTCTGGTATTTTGAAGACAACTAGACCCAATATTCCATCACATCAAAAGGTCTCATCAGAGCTTTTAACTGGAGAATCTCTCCTATAGTGCTTTAACTTGGCAGATAAATTTTTCCTGACACCCAACAGAAGCTGAAGTCAGATATATTCAGAGAATAAGTGTGGGGTAGTTTTTCTTTAATGTTAGTTACAGGAAGGGAGGTTAAACACGGCACTACCTCAAGGGACAAAGTACATTCTTCATTGCCTGATACCTTGAAGACCAGAATGCCTTTTTTCACATCACTCTACAGCTCTGATGACAAGAGGGAAGGGCACAAGGGCCAGGTGCTGTTCTCCTTGAGCACCATATCTGAAACCAAGAGATGCTTTTCAGGTAACAGTGCTGGTTGGGAAAAGATTAGATCTACTTAATAATTTGGGACAAGAGCATCTCCAACAGGTTTGCTGGAAGAAAGCTTTAAACTACCGGTGGATGAAGAGCAGAAACCAAAGAGAGGGAATAAGAAATTGAAAAAAAAAAAAAAAAAGTGGGTCCCTAGTGGAGAGTAGTTTCCTGATTGGTTGATTCCATAGTTTGCTGTGGAAAGAGCTACACTAAAGAAAGTGCTGCTGCAGTTTCTGCTCACAGTAACTGCACTGCAATGGGTCCTGCAGGATATCTGTGGGAAGCAGCTGCTCTGCACTGCAGTCCATGGGAACCCATAACATCTGATCCCACACACCAAACTGGGATGAACCTAGACCAAAAGTCACTTTTCCTACTGCCATTTCACCTTGGATGCAGAGAACACCACTCTGGCTCCCTGAACAGGAGGCTGCAGACACAGTAAGGAAGGGATCTCCCAGAACTGTTCCCTTCAGAGGAAAAAAGCTTTCCTGTCAATACCTGCTGGATGCAAATACTGTTTCAGTGTTTCTAAGCTTAAAGCTACCTAACTATATATTGCTTTATAGCTTAAGGATATTGCCCTGCCTACGGCAAACACTCTGTTCTTCCATTTTTTTTTTTCTTTCCTCGGAAAGCTAAGCTCAGACTGGAATTCCCATAGTCGTGTCACTCATATAGTCTTTCATTTTCCACAAGCTACCCCGCTTAGAAATCCTTCCCCCTGTCATTTTCAAGCCCTTAAACTGCCACTACAGTGATTCAAAGTATTGCTTTAAAATCCTGTTAAAGGATTATGCAAAAGCCTTTTGGCAATGCTCAAGGACAATACATTGGGATGCAATATCAACGTGGATATGCAGGAGAAAAGGTGGGAGAAAAGCAGGAGGAAATTGCCTGGTGCTAAACATGAAAGAGGAAAAGCTGCCATCCTCTAAGCCTGAGCAAAGGGACAACATAAATGAACACAGAACATGAATGAAGCTGGAAGTGGAGGGTCCTCCAGCATCTTACAGAGTGGGTGGCCCCACCACTTCCAAGTGGTTCCTCCCCCCTCACAGAACCAGCAGCCTCATTTTATCACAGCACTGCCAGAATTGTTAAACGGGCAAGACTGAAAATTATGACAAAGCTGATGAAAATACGTGTAACTTATTTCCAAGCTGCCCACTCTGCAGCTCACACGTGGCCAAGGCATTTGAAGCAACGTGAAAAAAAAAGAGAAAAGGCTGCTGAGAAATATTTATTTGGGGAACAGAGTTTAAAAGATATATTCAGTTCTAAGTGCAGAACCCAGATCTCCTGTCGCTGATTGTGTATCCCCAAACAATATTTTCAAGTGCAAGCCTGTCTTAGTTCATAAGGGATGCTTCTTCTGAAAATATTGCCAACATTTGTGATGTGTTGCATATGTAAAATGTTACTGCAGCCTTTCACCATCTATAGGCACAAGCAACTAGGAGGAATTCTAGAATCCCTCCTTTGTTCCAATGAGAAGAACATGGCTGGAATTAGGCACTAACTAAACATCTAAAAGGAACTGAGATGTTTAAGATGTTGCCTGATGACAAGGCAGAAATAGAGAAGGGGAACAGTAGAAGTTCTGTTAGACTTGTTAAAAGCAGTTTAACTACGCCAAGGTTAATTAGCTTTTTACCAATAACCAAATGTTTTAACACTTTCTGGAGAGATATGCAAACTCTTTTGGATAAGAATTTCCACTGACTGCACATAGGTAAGTTGGATGCTCAACTATTTTTCTGGGTCAGACCACATAATTCAAGGTGGTCAAGAAGAACAAAAGAGGGGAAATCTAATTTTTATGGAAGACACTTGCAGACAGGCATCTGCTAAGTTTTCATTAATAAGGTTCAGAATGAAGTTTCAGAATGAAGTTCAGAATTTGCAGCTTTAAATAAATAGCTTTTTGCTGTTACTCAAAATGCAATTGTACACTACTCTTGTTCAGTGGAAAAAGAGGAAATCTACTATTTTAATGTTCTACTCCTGTCCAGAACTGGGTGAACCAGCCAGGAAATTACTTCCCTTCCTACTCAAATCAAGTTTGAAAACCAGACTCAGGCTGAATCTCTGTGAAGGAACCACTGAATCCACTTTCCCATGTCCAAAAAAGTCCAGTCATTTTATACTAACTTAATATCTGTCGGGAACAACGCAGAGCTTCATCTCCCCTGGAAGCAAACTGGATAAAACCTGCACAGAATGTACCTTAAATGACAGCTGCCAATAATGGTCTGGTAGAGGTTCTGTACTGGGACTTCAGCAATCAAGGTTCATTTTCTAACTCTTTACAGGGTCCCAGCCGGATTTTGGGCAAGTTGCTTTCTTTGTTATTGTTCTTTTACAGGAAGACACATAAAATCCAACCTTCACCAGCCCTCTTGCCTTGTCCGAGAGACCTTGCAGGACTCTGTTTAAAGTTTTTGTTGTTTGTTTTGATTGTGATAACACAAAGAGACCAGGCCTTTCCAGTCTAAAGCAATAGGGGATGAACCTTCCATTCATTTAAAGGTGAGACCTCCAGGCTTGTTTTTTTGGCTTTGTTTGCTCAGAGGGGGTGGCAGGATCTGCGTGCAGACTTGAGTGTTGTTACTGCCTTGGAGACACTTTTGCACTGAACAGAAGCACACACCAAATGAAAACTCATGTTTGAAAGATTGCTTTGATCTAACTTCAGCATTTTCTTCCATGGCATGGAAGAGGAAGCTAAAAAACACCACAAATTTGCCTCCATACAGTGTTAACAATGCTTTCATTAGAAGTTCAACCTGTGAAAGTCTCACTTTCTGTATACAAACAACCAACATTTCTTTTAAGAGTCACTTTTTAATTAAATACAGTCCCAGCTGTCATTTCTAGCTATTTAATCACAAAGAAGTTTCCTAGGAACATAAAGCTAGAAGTGATTAAATTAAATAGGGCCTTTATTTACAGGTATCCCCTTAAGCAAGCAGATTATCTGCAGCATATATATATATATATGTGTGTTATAGACAAGGGTTGTTCAAACTTTTTATCTGAATAAATGAGACTTCTAAAATGGCTGGAGTGTACAGTATTAATCTCACTTCAAGGCAAGCTTTTCCCTCTTTAGCAACACAAGTGTTGCTGGTCAGCAGCATCACCAGAGGGCCCAGGGGAAGCTGAGCTGGTACTTTCTGTTTTCTTTCCCTTTATCCCTTTCCCATCCAATTCCAGCTACAAAACAAACATACAGTTTGAGGTACCAGAGGTGGTAGCTCCTTTTCTACATCCATCAGCCTCTCATGGTTTGGACACTCACTCCAGACAACCTCACTGCCTTTTCAGAAGAAGGAAGGGGAAGCAAAGCCCCTCAACTCTGAAACAAGAGGGGAGGGTTTTTCTCTTCCACCACAGACACTGCAGGAGGATTAACAGGAGCAGGACCCAGGACATGCAGATCCCAACACTGAGTTCCGTCATCATTAATTTACCATCTCCCAACAAAAAATGATTTAAAAATGCCCTTGTTTTCCACATTGAATCAACCTATGACAATGAGAAGATTTAAAGACAATTTGAAGACTCCAAAGCAATTGGCTGCAGCAAAGTAATATCTTTGAGATAAGTCAGATAATATAACTTTTAATAAAAATCTTGCCAAATAGGAGAACAAAACTCCAAATTGTCTTTTCACTTCTCCTCCTTTCCAGCAAAATTATCCTCTCTCTCTTGTACCATCCTGACAAGTGTTCTGGTTATCCTGAATTAAAAAAATGGAGGAAGATCTTTATTTCCAAATTAGATACTTGCAGCAATTTCTTTTCCAGATTCTCTTGTATTCTCCATACATTGTATGTATTCTGTACCCTGTGATGGGGAGGGTGTGTATCCCCTTGGATACTGCTGGTGAGC